GACCTTTGATGCATGTCTTTTTTTTTTTTTCGGATCAAATTCGAAATGGCCGACTGGCGGCCATTTTGTTAAAGAATTCAGTTCTGGATCCGTATCCAAGACATGTCTGGATTGATCAAGTTCAAACTTCACACACACATGGTACATCATGTCACAAATAGATATGTGCATTTGTTTCATGATCTGCTTAACAATAGCGGAATGATGGCCATTTTAAGGCCGAAAATGCATCAAAATCACATATTTTCACAATTCCAGAACCGGATCTCAGTCATGCATGGATGGATTTTGTTCAGATTTAGCACAATGTGTTGTACATATGCAGGTGCATTTCGGTCATGATCTGCTTTGAATGTATATGTCACTCAAATATGAACGGGACGGGGACGTGTCATTGACAATAACTTGTTATTGTACTCTCTGACGAGATTCGTAACATTTTGCATACTTTCTGGCAAATCTAACTGTCGCACTGCCGTAAGTAAGCAATATGCCTGGATCTGTCCGTACATGCGAGTGGGATCTTATCTGATGGGGCCTGCATTCATCCAAATAAATTTTAAAAAAGTGTGATATTTTTGCTCGATTACATTATTTTATCAACAAGATGTTTAAGAATACACATAGTGATACATATATTAGTTTAGCTAAACTTAAAAAAAAATTTGTTTTTCAACTATTTAGAAAATTTACACACCTTGACTTGACTTGATATTTCAAGTTTTTTTGTTTTGTCTTTTCTTTTTATAGGTACTTGTGGCAAATGCAACCAAAAGGTCATGGGTGAAGAGAACGGATGCTCTGCAATGGATCAGATTTTCCACATAGATTGTTTTACGTGTGTGACATGCAACGGGAGATTACGTGGGAAACCGTTTTATGCGTTAGAAGGGAAGTCATACTGTGAAGAATGTTACTATGTAAGTTTTTTTGATATTGCCCGCATTTTAGATGGCTGTATCACCCGATTCTTTATTGCCAAAATACCAGATTTGTTGACCTTTTCACCACCAGTTCTATCTCTTCATCGCACATTCACAAAATAGTCGTGTTTATAGTCTGCACTTTCCTATCAGAAGATTATGACAAAAATAAGCACATTTTTTGAGTAAAAACAGAATTTTTTTCTGTTGGCTACTAAATTAGGGTCCATTTTCAGAAATATAAGAAAAAAGTGCAGTCAAATTTGGGCGAAAAGTCTGGTGGTGGAAAGGTTAAAGCTATATTAGTGACAATATTATGAATCTATTGACGTGGGAAGTACCATTAATATACTTATATGACAGTTTGTTTTAAATTTTACTAAATGCATTCAATTGTGGTTGTGTACTGTAGAATCATTTATTTTCACTGACATTTAATTTCACTATTTTGATTTTGAGCATATTCCCTTTGTTTTAATTTAATTTAATTTTGTTTTATTGTTGTTCTACATGTTCACATAGATTTAATTTAGCGTATTTTACTTATCAGCAAAATTGAAACATGGTGACTAAACATAGTTTTTACCGTATATGCAATATTAATAATAGTATGTTTGTTTGTTTGTTTTTTAGGCTACTCTTGAGAAGTGTTCAGTTTGTTCTCATCCAATCATGGACCGGGTAAGTGTCAACTTAAAAAAAAAAATATGTAATGCAATTATTTGTTTTTATATTCTTCATAGTTTATCCAAATCTGTAACCCTATTAGTAAGCATGAGAATTCAACTTGATATTTGAGAAATATATACCATACTTACAGTCATATAAGTCCAGGGGCCTCAACATCGGGGAAGTATAGGGTGGGTTTATAGCCAAGGACCACCTCCCAAAAGATGAATTTTTTTGTTTGTTTAACATTGTAACCATGTTACCAAAAGAAGAAGAAAAAACCATGTTGTCAAAAATAGGACTACCATACATATCATGATTTTTATGCAATGAAACACACTTTTTCTACACATATTTCAATAAATGTTAAACGCCCGGTAAAAACACTCTGGGCCTATAACCGGGGATGCCCTCAATTTGTTAAATATCTAAAAATAAGGGGTGGGCTTATGGCTGGGGAAGTACGGTATATATATATCAGTTACACATACAAACTTGCTTTTCAAACTCGGTGTTGGAATAGGGTAGTGTATTAAACGTTTACATGTCATAGAGTAAACTTGTATGTAAAGCCGAACATTTTCCTTTTATTTCGAGCAATGTATTAGCCTAGTGCTCGTTTTGACGGGCGTAATCTGATTTTTAGCACTGTATTTGTGAGTGTTACACATGACTGGTTGTATCACAACATCACTATTGTTCTCCGCTGTATGGTGGTTGACTGACCACCCAAACACCCTATCTGGCTGTCACTGATACATAGCTCTAGAAATGCACTCAACCGTAATATCATATCCCCAGTTAACAGTAGCCTTATGTGATACCAGAATATCACTACAGCGTACATGTGACACATACCTGTTCACACTCTTGACCTTTTGATGGTCAAAGTCAACTCATGTCACTTTTCATCAAACATCCGACATTAGTTTTTCCATGTTCCTCGTAAATTTTCGTCAAGAACTGTTGATAATGGAAATGTGATGAAATTATTTTTTTGTAAAATATAACTATTTCACCTTTTTCTTTGCATTCACAAAAAGATTATCATCAGCTATTGATAACGTATTTTAAAACTTGTTTACCAGTTAGAAGATATTATCACAAAGCACTCTAATAACTAAAAAATCCCAAGAATATGGGAAGTAAAAGTCTTGTGGTGCTTCACCACAAAATTGTGGTGTGTGGTGGAGAAATATTTTTGGTGTTCTACCCGCAAAGAACTCTGGGAACTCTGGCTATATATTATTAATATTACAAAAGATAGATGATTACCAATTCTACATTTAATTTCAAAACTTAATTTACTCATCTGTTAATTTTCTTCTTTCTTCTTTCTTCTTTCTTTTTTATATTCAGATTCTCCGCGCCACTGGCAAGCCATACCATCCAGCTTGTTTTACCTGCGTTGTGTGTGGTAAGAGTTTAGATGGCGTGCCTTTCACTGTGGATGCAACCAATCAAATTCACTGTATTGAAGACTTTCATAAGTAAGTAACTGATATTTTGATTGGTTTGATGAGTTTTATGTGTTCTAGGGTTTCCATTCAATTTGCATATTGCTTTGAACATTGTCAGCATGCTGAATTGTTCCAGGTATTGAGGTCAAAGTTCGTATAAAAATGGTCTTGGACGTGACCTACTGTAGAATTAATTCTAAATAAAATAAATCAAAATATATTTTTCAATACTATTTTCTCTAGTTACCCACACACTCATCACACGTACACATTATATGCGAAAGAATGAAAGGAAATTGTACGACCTCAACTCATTGATGACATTTAAAAAATAGTTGCATATTTTCGTAATAATCAGAAAGACATTTTCATAAATTCTGCTCTTGAAATTGGGTGCCCTTAATCCCTGTGGGCTGTATGTGTGTTTGTTATTTGTTTGTTTCTACCTTCTTGGAAACAAATTAAGCATTATGATCATTGATAGTTTTGCAGGTGCTAAAATGCCTTGGAGGAGCACTGTCACATTTTTTCACACAAGACTACGTCTATCGTATACATTTCACATGAACTGTACAAAATCCAAAGCCCTATAGGATAATTTTTTTTATTTGTTATCTTTTCAGGAAATTTGCTCCTAGGTGCTCTGTCTGTCATCAACCTATCATGCCGGAACCAGGTCAGGAGGAGACTGTCCGAATTGTTGCCATGGATAGAAGTTTTCATGTTAGCTGTTACAAATGCGAGGTAAGAGGTGGATTTTTGTCAATATTTTAAACGCAGAAGCAGCTGGTGATATTGTTATACAGTAAGCACATGATTGCATAATATCATCTTCTCAAATAACTACTAGTATGCAATTTTGAAATGTGTATTTATAAAAAAAAAAAAGAAATCTGTAATTATATTAAAAAAAAACTTCTTGGCAGAAACTTGTCTTTGTGTTAGATACGCCGTAGGTTCGATTGTGAGCAAAACCAAGAAAGAACTCATTATTTGTTGTATTTTTGTAATTTCCCCAGCATTGACTCTTTAAAAACCATAATCTTCTCACCAATATTTTGACGTACCATTTTGCTTATTATGTATTTCTTAGTATTTATTTGATAATATTAGACCAAATTAACATAATGTTCTACTGACGACAAGTCTTGATCAACATTTGTAAAAATAATAAATAAAGAAATTATACACATTTTAATTTGTGAAATTGACTAAACTTGATTTTGGTGCTCAATATGGCATTTATTTTTAATACGAATGACTGAATCTGGGATACTTATAAATCTTGAATATGATAAAAAGTTTTATGATTCCGGGTTTTGTAGGGTATTTCAAAATATATTATGGTAAAGTGTACTTTGAAAATATAGAAGAAATCTGACAATTCGCTTTTTCCCCTCTTTCCCTTCCCTTATATCTGCTCACTTATTTCATTAATTTCAATCAAACTCATCAACCAATGATTATTTGAAATCAGAAACAAATTTTTATAAATAAATAATATACTTAGCTTGCCTAGGTCTGGTTGCAAACTGATTTTAACAGCCTGACAGTCAAATCGCCCACAGCTGTTGTCATTTGTGAACATGATGTTGATAGTCTTCTTGTCAGATTTCTGGATTTATGACATAATTTAACATGTAGTGTGAATAACATGGATGATGAATGTTAATTAACCTTTGCACCACCAGTTCGTTCTTTTCAACACAAATTCACAAAATAGTTCCGTTCATAATCTGTACTTTCCTTCAAAAGATTGGAACAAAAATATCTAAAAAATTTTGACTAAAAACTGAAAATTTACTAAAATTTTGTCTGTTGGCTCAAAAATTGGGGTTTATTTCCAGAAATATTGGAAAATTACAAGGAAAAAAGGCAGAAAAATATGGGCGAGAAAGTCTGGCGTTGAAAAGGTTAAAACAAGCATAGAACGCACAACTAGAATTAAGTGAAATCAGGCGTCATGTGCTGCGTCTATATTGCAGTCATTTCCTCTGATCATATATTTGTTATTCTGATTAAACTGGTGTGTTTTTCTGATATATTATTTCACTGAGATAGTAGAAAGCTTTTTACCCAGCTACCTGTATACCTATCATTTTAGACAGGCATTCCACATTTTAGAAAATAATCATAAATAATCACCAAAAAATAGACCAAAAATATGTAGCTTTTATTCTGATATTGTTTTTAGATTCGTACTTTTCATTTTCTGGCTGTATAACCCTAGATAATAGGGTTGTTTTAAGTTAATTTAATATGTACCTAGTTTGTAAGAATTTTGAAGTCTTTTGAAATTTTGTAATGGTTTTACCCACAGTCCTCTTTTTTTTTTTTTAAAATCCTTAAGTCGATGTATTAAAATATTGAAGTTTTGCTTTGATTGTAAAAAATATTTTGGAGTTTTTACTTCCAAGAATTAGTTCAAGAGATTTTTACTATGATAAAAACAGTCTGTTTATCTTGCCTCACTGCAACCTGGTTGAAATTTATCACGATTATACATTTCAATTTTCAAACCATTCTTTGATCTTTCAGGACTGTGGTCTATTATTGTCATCTGAAGCTGATGGACGGGGCTGCTTCCCATTAGACGATCACATCCTTTGTCGTGACTGCAATGCTCGTCGAATTCAAACACTGACTTCAGGAATCTCGGCCCAGTGAGACATGTGACAGTGGTTACTGTGATACAGAGACAAAACAATCATACATTGGTACAAAGAAATAGCCACAAACATTGTTATGCAAAAGATGATATTTTTTATTTCTTACGTAGAGTGCCTCAACTTCATCTTACTACAGAGATGCTTCCAAAATTGAAAAGAAAGTCGGGTATCCATGAAAAAAATTGTCCAAAAAATAAAAATACTATATTCTTTAAAAATAGATTTCCAAGGATGTTCAGGTGCACTTTTATTTCTGGTGTAAGAAAAAAAATAGTTATAATTTTATTTTTAATTATTCAGATTAGTTGTAATTAGTGCTATTTTCAGTTTTTGAAAAAGATAAGTATTGAGCAGAATTTTCATGTGAAACTGATGAGATAATAAGATGGGAGTGGGTTGAAGTCACCAACTCTTCAAAATATGTCAGCAGATATTCTTTAAAACTTGTATCTGTTATATTGGAAATAAAAAAATAGTATGAACCAAAAGTCCGGAATACATGGGTGTACACCTCTGACATTTCAAATGGTTAACCTTTCAGTTTCTGGAAAGTTTGCTCATCACTTATCGCTTACAAGAAGAATGTCTTATCTGATTTGGTGAACCAGACTGTGCTCACCTCTTATCCAATCTCTTTGAAACCATGTATAGATAAGATTTTTAGTTGAATTTCAATCAGGTAGAGTAAAGTCATACAGAAATATTGAAAAAAAAAAAATATTTAAGTTTCACATAAAAAAAGAAAAAAAATTATTTTCTAATACTCCATGTCAACTACCGTATTTACTCTATTGAAAGCACATAAAAATTGCATTTATTATGTGGTGCTGGATTATTAAAACATGACTTAGTTTGATCATTGACATGCGCAAATATGTGCCACTAATAGAGCAAATATGGTAAAAGTGTTTGCAAGAAATAAATAAAAATTAAAAAAATGACTGCATGAACATCTTAGCAAGATTCCAAGACTTATGCTTTTGTATTTAGCAGTATGTTTAGGAAGCGGTGCGTGCAACAATAGTGAAGAAACAAGAACAAAAAATGATTTTTTTCTAAAAAGTGGAACAACACTAGAGTTGTAAATCATTGTAAAAAACAGCCTGTGTTGTTGTCATGACAACTACTGATTTTGTATTTGTGAATTTTTACTAGCTAAAAATAGACTATAAGGTGTTCACTGTGTAGATTATATTTTCTTATAGAACAGATGTAAATTATAGGGACAATAATTTTAGGGAAATTTGACTGGTAGGCATGGCAACAGAAATGCATGTTTGAAATTGGCATGCAAAAACGTCAAATTTGATATTATTTAAATCATATATCGTAACGTTATTGATTTGTTTTGTTTTATGAATGTATGTATGTATGTGTTGTGTTGTTATATGAGACTGGCGTTTTAAACATACCAATTTCCTACCTAGAAACCTTTGTACATTTTGTACTACCAGTAGTTTATTATTATTTCCTAAAAATAAAAGATAATAAATTGTGGAAGATGAACATAATTTTATTGATGTTCTGCGTCACTGAATTGTTGAAGAGCCTCTGTATTCTATAACAGTAATTGCCTTTTTAGATGAGAAGTCAATTCTATGCAAGATACAAACCGCAAGAAACCATACTATCCAGTTTATAATAAACTTGTACAATATGGTTTATTATTAGAACAGGTTAGATGTAGTCAAAAACAAGGACTGTGTATAATAAAGCCCTCAAACTCTTCAGGGAATTTAAAGTCTGACCCAAGATAAAATGTCAAGGCCTCAGACCAAAACTTCTATGGTGGGAAGAACTTTATATCTCAGAAGAGTCTGTGTAAGAGGGCTTCATCTGACTTGTAGATATATATTTTGCCAAAATTCTCATACTTTTGTGGAATTTTTGCACAAAATTTGTAATGGAGGGGGGGGGGGTTAATCCTCTATTCTTCTATTCAAGCAGAATATGCTTTACGAGTTCTCAAACATTTGTTTTATGCAATGTGTGAATCCAGTACCTGTGTGTATGAGCGTTGACGTTTCAGAATTTGGGGTCATTGTTCTTATACAATTTGCATACTGAAATTAGGGCAGGTGGGTCGTTTACTCCTACAGTGAAACGTTTACTATTACACTGAGACGTTTACTCCTACACTGAGACGTTTACTCCTACACTGAAACGTGCAGAAACGGTGAAAAAAGTAATAAGACACATTCTCTACATTTCAATTTGTTCAGATTATTTGGTTTTGCATTTTACATTTCAATTGAACAAATAAGTTAGACACATTAATTAATACATGTAAATACAACGTCAAATTTAGAATTTCAATATTATGCTGATAATCTATAGCAATGATATTATCGTAGAACCTGGAATATTCTAATATTTGATAGACCATCTTGATACAAAAGTTGGTTGTAATATTCCAATAATGTAAAGTAAATGTAGAAACTGTAAACAAAAAGTCTACACTGCCGCTTGGCTGTCAAAACCATAATATAACACACCCCCCCCCCCCCCCGTAATAGGGAGATGACAGCGCCCTCAACAGATGGACAGATAAAAACAAAAGGATATTCATTATCGTCCCATGTCAGAGTTTTGATTGGAATTTACCAAACCCACCAACGATGCATGGGAGCACTACTAGATTGGAAATTTGCACATTACAAATTCAATTTCAATGTGACCGACCAAAGATATTAGAAAAGTTGTCCTTGGACTGACATAGGGGGAAAATAAAGTATTAGTATGACTTGAACGATGACAAACGTCACGGAAAGGTGATAAACTAAACTGCACTAAACTGTTCGGTGTACTGATTGATATGAATATCGTTATTGTTTTATCAATTTAAAATGAGTAGTATAGAGTGAAATTGCTTTTTGTTGACACAGCAAATGAGAATACGCGTGGTGTACGCGTGAGTTCTAAGCTATGTAATATTTGGTTGTTTGATTACAGTAATATGTCGGCAATTAACACTTTCAAATTTCAGTTAGTGTCTAAAGCTTTACGTGAGTTTTTTACATCCATTTTTTTATTTCTGAGTTATGGTGAAATATTCCATGCATGTAGTCAGCAAATCCGATTTAAACGTTTGTGTCGTAACTGCAGTAGCTTTCAGTGTTAATTCGGACCATAAGGAAACATTCTTCCCGAATTGCAATGTTTTGTACTACCTTGTGAGTGTATGTAGACAACGGATGTAGGCAAAGTATGCAATTTTACTTTTACTCTTGTGTCGATAAACATTGATTTTCCAACTATTCAATGCGCTCTTTTAATGGTAATCACGGGTACGAGTTGTGACCTGAGCGCGACGTGCACGAATTACCGCCGGTGATAAATTCCAATCACAAACGATTACGTAGTTCAAGCTTGGTAATGTCTCAGTTTGCACTCGTTGTTCTGCGCAACAGTCAAAGTCGTCCTTGTTGTTCATATGAGCCCCATATATCGCGCATGCGTGGCGCGACGACCACTGCCCTTTAAACCATCAGCTAAATAAGCGAAAATAAAACACAGTGAATAAATGAGCCACTCACAGTATTGCTATTACGGCCACAGTTACAGACACGAGCTTTCTGTCTTTTCATCGCGACAATACATTATTTTAGTACGGTAGCATTACCAAAAATCATAATGGAAGAAAAGATACAGATGAAGTTTTTTGATACTGTATATTTACTTTGACAATTGTTAACTAAATTGGTGTTGTAAACGACATTGAATTTAATCCCCGTCGTATGTATATCTTGTTATCGCTCTTCGTGTGTGTACCTGATATATATACCACGGGGTCGATGTCCCGTGGCCATGAACTCCACTATGTTGAGCAGTTCAAGAATAGAATAGAATAGATTTGTTTTCGTTTGTTATTGTACATTGACTTATTTCGTACTAGTTTTTTGGGAGATCATTGTGTCATTTTCTAATTTTAAAATGAAATATTCCATTTTTGGTCAAGCTACACATATTTCACACTATAATGTTTGTTTTTTTACTATCTAGTAGTGGATAGAGAAAGAAAGCAAAATCATTATATATTATTAGGAATGTATAAATTCTAACAAGAGTAAAATAATCACTTGACTCATACTCACACTGCTGATAACATGCGTGTTTATTGTTGAAAACAAATGTGCAAAGTTCGCAATGGTTCGATAAACGGGTTGATGGTTGGTCGCGTTGTCAGTCATCATCATCGGATCCTTCAGATAAAGTCTGACCATGGTCTGACTGACTCACAACAAAGATTAAGACACATTTCCATGCAAAATACCAAAATAATGGATAACTTTTGCAGTTTAACTTATTCATTCCAACAAATATCCTTTTTCGTGTTTCCCAAACCATCTTCGGTGTTGAAAAACAGAGTAAAAACTTGGCGTAGAAGCTGAAGACTGGCAAAGCACGCCCCCACACGCCCATCTTGGATGCCATGACGTCACCATTTAATCGGGTTATAAAATGGCGGAAGATAATTTAGCCGAACTCGAGATACACGCAGATAGCCAGGCAACAAAGTACAATCCACACCACTCTGAAGAAAACCTTGAAGACAGACTGGTCCCGGACGTTCAGTTCAAGACCTCTAGACTAACAGTGCGAACCGACTCAATGGATAACAAGCAGAATCTAGGCTCTGGTGACGGTGGATCGTCTCCAGCAGAGACCGCGCAACAAGATCAGCCACCAATCGTTCCGAATATCGGGCGTCCTAAAAGTGCCCCGATGTCAAAATTTCAACAGAAACAATTCTTTGCCTACAGGGTAAGTAAACAATTCTATGTGAATAATGGCTGCCATGTTGTTTACACAATATGCGCCGTCGTATTGATCATGAACAGTTGAATGCACAAAAATGAAAAACGTCATAAGATACAGTTCCTGTTATTATGAATGCATGTACGCATACCAAAAAACAAAAAAACTCGTCACTTGAAAAATAATACATTTACTTCTTTTTCGATTTTCGTTAGTGTCACTCAGTTTACATAGCTGCCATTATTTAAAATTTATTGCTAGAAAATTCCACTTAAACTGTAAGTTTGAAATGAAATCTGAACCTTCATATAAACAGCAGTGTCGGAGATTTCTATGTTTCGTTAGTAATAATGCCTGGACTGACACCACAACAAGCGATGGATTAACCGCAGAGGGTGGATTAACTAACAAACAAACACCAACCATGTTTTTTTCGTTCATATATACATGTATCTGCGTAGTGATTTATGAGAATTTCCGTGACTCATGTACACATGTTGAGTATAGATAGTTCTTATAATGGGTGTAGTCTGTTAAAATAATAAATAATTGCATATTCATAATTATGGTGACTTGTGCGACAGATACAATGTATGTGGGTTAATATAATGTAATAATGTATGTATGTGTATTATGAAAAGTAAACATACATTTTTGAATATTGTTGATATTTCATACTGTAGACCAAATTGTATTATAATTTATAACTAAATGTGATTGCAGCAAGGTACACAATTATAGTATATTTGTTAGATAAAAAATCAAAACTATTAATACACATGATGTGCAGTGATTGTTATTGTACGTACCTAAACAACCAATATACAGATTTATTTGAAAATGGACAAGGTGTGTTTTTCAGGTCACAATAAATCATAGTCCAATGTATCATTTAATATATGGTATTAAACAACAATACTTAAAATTACATGTTCTTGTCTATATTGCATCTTCACTGCCTATAATTTATAGTAAGTTCTGAACAATTTTGTTGTTTTGCAAAAAAAAAAAAATAACGATACTAGTGTTGCCATGTACATTCATTTTAGCCCACGAGATCACTCATATCAACCAGCCGTTCAATCAAGCAATACATTCTGATAATCTTAAATATGATATATATTATTATAAATCTAGCACCAAAAACAACATTTTTTGCATCACTGTAATTAATTTTTGTTACGGTATATATCATAGTCGAAGCATAGAAGCAACCTGTCTGTTCTGTCTGTAGTGATCTGCTATAAATAAACATGCTGGTTGGTTTAGGATTTATAAATTTAACCAAATCATTGTTTTCCATACGGCTTTATCTTGTTCTTCCACCATGTTTGTTTTTAAACACGAACATTTGTCTAGGTTGTATGGGAAGTTCAATTTGGGTTGTGGACACCAATATTAGTTTTGAGAGAACATTATAATACTAGTAATTAAAAGAAAAAGTAATATAGTAAAATAAAATGTTTCTTGCCTTCCATGGGTATTGATGTTAAAGTAAACCAACATACTTATCATCATAACAGCCTTTTAAAATTTGCACGAGATTCTGCAAATTATCTTTGGCTATAGCGTATTATTTTTTGCGGCTATTTTGGGAGTTGAAAAAACTATGTCACGGTCATATTTACTCCGTAAAACACACAAATACCATCTCTATTTCAGTTCATTTTGGGGAAAAATCACACAAAAGATAACAGGTAAACAGAATCTAAATAATATACTCTTAACAAAATTTGATCTTTTAGTAAATTTTTGTAAAATAAAGTTTATCCTAACATAAATACACCTTAATTGTCACTACATGTCAGCTTCATCATTGCCATTTGATGACATCTGGTACTTTTTCACTGTGCATCCTATGAAAAGAATAGAAAAATAAACAATACAGCTTATGTAGAATGTCATATACTGTAAATTACTTAATTTTAGCTAAATTTAGTTTTCGCTGGGTGTTTTATATGGAATTTATTTTCACTGATTTTTGACAAGTTGAATGTGAAATATAGGAAAAAAAGTATATTCCCTGGAATCTATTTTCACTGAAGCATCCAAGCGGAAATAAAGTATTCTACAGTAGTTGACTTTAAGAATTATTAAAGATGCAATATTGACATTCAATTTTTAGTATTGTTTAATACTGTATATTGATAGATACATTGATACTATGATTTATCATGTCATGAAAACGCTGTTCTTGTACCACACAATGACATTTGAATATTCATTTGATGAAACAATGAAATTTTCTAATACGGTAATGCACTGGTTGTTTTAGTACGTACTCTACACGTACGATAACAGTCACTACATATGCGTATTAGTGGTTTTGATTTTTTATCTAACAAATAGTTTTGTCTCCTGCAATCATAACATTTTTTATTTATGATAAATCATAATCTGATTTAGTCTAAAGAATGGAATTTTTGAACAACAATATTATGAAATATGTTTTCCATATTTCATTAATTTTTAAAACAAAAATTGGTTAAGGATCAAGGAATTTCTTCAAACAGCCAGTAAAGGGGCTTTGCTCAAACTAAGGCCCATCCGTCATGATGTGAATTGAGGCCTGGATCAGGTTTCATTAAAAGTACAGCACCTAGTTCTACATAAGTAAATTATTTGGCTGTCAGAATATAAATGTGGAGCATGTAGGCATGAAACATTGACCTGTCTGTGAACTCTTCACAGTGATACATGTAATATTTCATGCAACCTTACACATATTTATGTACTTGTACTGTAAAAACATTAATTATTCACTGATTTTTAATTTCCCTATTTCCACGGATACTGTAAAATACTTTATTTTAGCTGGAATTAATTTTCGCTGAAAAAACTTTTTGGATGTTTTGTATGAAATTGATTTTCATTATTTTTTGACAAGTTTATTGTAAAATAAAAGGGAAAAAAAGGTATATTTGCTGGATTATATTTTCACTGTATCATTCCTTCAGTAAAAATAACAAAAATTAATTCCAAGCAAAAATAAAGTATTCTGCAGTAACATCATGTGAAATAACAATAAAACTCATTTGTGAAATTAAAACACAGTGAATAGTGAGAGTAAATATCAGTGACAATAAATTGTTTCTATAGTACCTCATTTCAAATTGGGGTTTGCCTAGTGTTGCCATCACTATGTCAAGTCATGGTTTTAGATGACAGCTAATATGTTGAGCATAGCTGGGCCTCTCTCTCAATGTCAAGGTTCTTTGCAATAAATATTGAAATATTGAGTTGTATATTTTTGATGGCAAATTTATGAATCTGATAGTGTTTTGTGAATGAGCAGAATGTAAACATATGAAGCATACTGTTATGAGGATTTTATTTTTATATCTTGCAAATAAATTGCTTTATTGCTATACAAGGTCAAATTTGGAAAACAAAATTGGGGTCACAGACTGAACTTTTTTAGATAAACTAAATAATATATGGATTACAGATTTAATACATTGTATGGGCAGGGGGTAAAACTTGACCCAATGAATTAAAACATTTCATTGCTTTTCAAGTTAATGAATGAGACAAAGTCTTTGAAACTATCGGTATATTTAAAAAAAGAAAGGAGTGGGGTGCTGACCTTATAAAAATAGGGTGTTTCAATACTTGTCATATGTGTGATGGAACATGTTCTCGGGTAAAAATACAAATAAAAATATTGTTCTTTTTTGCATTAAAAAAAAACATTTTTTATGTGTATGTTGGTCAGCAAAGAGATTGGACATTTTTGTACATCAGATATCATATACATGTACTAATAATAATGAATTTATTGCATCCGTAGAAATAGTTTCCATTCATTGAAGTGTATGTGCAGTCTTAACCCTTAGCCAGATATTTTTCCAAACCCAAATTCAGTAAAAATATTTTCACATTTTGTGAAATTGTCCATACAGACTGTTTCAGATATTGCTTTTAGTTTTTGACCAAAAGGTTTGTAAATTTTTCTCAACATTTCATGTGGGTAAGGAGAATACTAAAAAAACATTTTGTTGATGGTGCCAAAAGTTGACAATGGCGCATTCAAAGGGTTAAAATTAGAACTGTTTGTACAAGTGGAACTCCCAAAGAGCCAAGTAAAGTGTTCTCTGCTCACCAATTGTGATTTGCATTGACTACGTGATTCATAAAAATGGGTTTTTGTTGCGGTTTACAAAACCATGGAGTTGAGTTGAAAGGGTTGAGTAGAATATATTTGCTATACATGTAATAGCAATATGTAGGAATAATGTAAACTGATTTATAATTTCACCACTGACAAATGCTGATAAAATTTGGTGGTCAAAGCAAATCACCAAATTTAACAGTCATTTCATTTTAAATCTTTAATTCTTTGAATGCTGAAGTTCATTCTTCTTTCACTTTCACACATTTGCAATTATATTTGCATGTCCCCCCCCAAAAGCTTATGTAGTTGTATTTAATCGATTGAAAAAAAAATGACACGAAAAAAACATAAAAGTATGCAAACTTATGGGAGTAAGAATAATGCCGTTTAAAGGTTAGGACAGTAAGGCACAGTGCCTGGAACAAATTTTCAGCTTCACAAATAATGTATTTGATTTAACACCGAATAAACGGCAAGGTGTTATTTGCTTACTTTACTTCCTATGTCGACAGCAACTATGAGTTTAAATGTATTTGATTTGATGTGATAGTAATGCATATGCTTACATAAATTACAGAGGTGTCAAGTAATATTTTAAGTAATAATAATAAGTAATATTTTAATGATTCACTACAACAAATGTGATTTTTAGTTTATGTGCACTTCTATCAGTAATGTGCTTCTCGTAGACTAAATATAGTGCTCTCAAACGATAAAATCTGGAAAAATAGCAAAAATAAAATTGTTTACAGTATTTACCTAGTTTGTTTAATTAATATTTTCAAGAACATTCTGTTTTGAAACGTTTTTCCTTTTGTCAACATTGAGTATGGGATTTTTTTTATACTTTCTCATCTATAAAATGAGGGTACACAGAATCAAACAAGGGTAAATTAATTAAGTACTGCAAGTTGGTGTATGTAAGTGATTTTCAAAATTGACAGGTTTTCTACACCCATGAGGGTGCAAAATCAAATTTGAGGGTGAAATACCCTTTGTAGAAGGTGAATGTTCACTGAACTGTAAACTGGAAAGAAAATGAGCCGCATTGTTTGGCTGCCATGTGGTGTGCAATATTCCAATTGTAGTGGCCGATAATTAATCATCAGTCAATTATAAGAAGTTTTATTATCGATTCTATTTTTAAAATGGTCATTTTTTTGGGATCGAGGCTGAAGAAAAGGTTACTGTGAGTCATAGCTAGACTAATTTGCACGTGAACATAATGCGGATGAGTGGACATAATGACATCATTGTCTGCCCATGAACCACATTGTCATGCTAATGACTTTCTAATTTGCATGACAATGCATTATACTCTCAGGGAATACATGTTCTGTCAAGCTCTGTTCTCAACCGTTTTGTGAAGTTAGGCAAGTCTTGTAGTAAAGCATAGCCAGGTACATTGATGTAAGCATGCATTATGTCCATATATAATACTGAAGATGTATTCATGATCTGAAGTCATGAGGGCGTTCATAAGGATGATACAGTAAACAGTTACATTTTCATATTGCGTTCATGAGAAATTTCAGTTGATGTGAACCCCAGTGAAATTTTCATAGCTACAAAATTTTTGTATTTTTCCTGACTCGTGTAATTTATGGAATTTTTTCTCTGGTGAAATTAAGTCATTGTAATTACACAATTTATCTCACAATATTTGCCAAAACTCGTACTGCAAAAGAACTATCGGGGTATTGACACAACAATGATACTCAGAAACTGATATTCAAGTTAAAACAGAAATGTCAACCAGGACTACATTTGTAGTGAACTGAAACATCACTTGCAAGCTGGCAAATTATAAAAAAGATTGCCTTGGTTTGTCCATTGATATAGTTACCTTTAAATACACACAGCCTACATGTATTAATTGTGATGAAAAATAAGACCTTGCCTGTAGGGTGAACTTAAAGTGAATAATACAAGGTAATTATCTAAAAGTCTACACAAATACAGCGATAACGAACAGGTTGATATAATCCTGTACTGTCAGGGCGCATAACTTAGTGATATCCTCATAATAATCTTTCAATTATTGTCATACATCTACTTGATCCAACCGTTTAATTACCAAACTTTCCTGCTCTATTTCTATTTTCAAAATCGTTCCATATTTGGAATTTGTGTTTCCTAATAAGGTAGGATGTACAATGTAGATCCCCTCTGCAATACCACAAAATTACGTCACGCTGTAACTTATGGAGATAATATGACAAATGTAAAATAATATCCTATACAGCATAACAATACCCAATTAGCCTACGAGTAATAGCATTGAACTTTTTTTTGGAGATGGGAGGGGGCATTAATTTTCTAGGCTCAAATCTGAGAGCCCCTCTTGCTTGAATAGGTTAGAGTATACATTGTATAACCATAAACATTTCCTTTTGTTTCCTTCTCGCAGATAGATTTTATTTGCATCAATCATTATAAATAAATTCAACATCCTCTCTGTTAATTTCAGCCCGGTGCCATTGAAGCTGCGGTGAATGAGTCAAAGTCAATAATAAAGCCAGAGATTGACGGTGAGATTCGTGGTGTGTGGCTGCTCACTGAGTAAGTAATACCATCTCAAATCTTTTTTTGTTTTTTCCCAACACATGTACCCCTAGTCCTTGATGCCTTCCAAATGGGTGCTTATGGATTGACCTCTGTATGTGTGTGGTTGCGTCCAGACCTGCCTGGACCGATTACATTCAAATTTCACACATACATAATATTATACATATGCATATCAATTTGTTTCACGGTCAAGATGGGTGAATGGCGGCCATTTTCGTGCTGAAAAATCGTCAAAATCAAGCATTTCTGGCATTCCAGTACTGGATCTCACCTGTGTACAGATGGATTTTGTTCAAACTTAGTACATACATTAGACATTATGGGATCTTGATACACGTCGTTAGACTTGACTTTTTCTTTAAATTTACCATATTACAGGTTTTAAATAGCTTATTTATAGAAGCCACAATGTATCAGATAGTTGGATTTGTGCTATAAAATAGCTAATTTCCAACTTTATGACCGCCAACTTTGTAGCTCCGCTGTCGACTTTGTTGAGCGAAGCTTATCATATGAGTGATTGTCCGTCATTGTCCGGCGCCGTTCGTGTCAATGTTTTACTTTTTCGACTTCTTCTTGAAAACTGTAAGCCTGAATGCTTTGATACTTGGTGTATATGTACCCTGTGTAGACCTCTCTTAGATTTGTTCATTTCATGATGATATCTTCAATTCTCTAATTTTGGTGAATATTTTTGTCATTTTTGGTAAAAAGTGATATTTTCGACTTCTTGTTAAAAACTGCAAGTCTAATTGCTTTGATATTACATATGTAGGTACTACATGTGATCCTCTCTCGGATTTGTTCATTTTGTAATGATATCTTTAATTCTCTAATTTTGGTGAATATTTTTGTTATTTTTGGTAAAAAGTAATATTTTCGACTTCTTGTTAAAAACTGCAAGTCTAATTGCTTTGATATTACATATATACCGGTAGGTACTACATGTGATCCTCTCTCGGATTTGTTCATTTTGTAATGATATCTTTAATTCTCTAATTTTGGTGAATATTTTTTGTCATTTTTGGTAAAAAGTGATATTTTCGACTTCTTGTTAAAAACCACAAGTCCAATTGCTTTGATATTACATATATAGGTACTACATGTGGACCTCTCTCAGATGTGTTCATTTCGTGGTGATATCTTTAATTCTCTAATTTTAGTGAATATTTTTGTAATTATTGGTAAAAAGTGATATTTTCGACTTCTTGTTAAAAACCACAAGTCTGATTGCTTTTATATTACATATATAGGTACTACATGTGGACCTCTCTCAGATTTGTTCATTTTGTGATGATATCTTCAATTATCTAATTTTGATGATTATTTTTGTCATTTTTGGAGAAAAGTGATATTTTTGAATTCTTGTTGAAAACAGCAAGTCTACATATTGTTCATTTTCTAATGATATCTTCTGTTCTTTAATTGAAATGTGCATTGCTAACAGCGGAGCTATCTCAGCCGACAGGCTGCTTGTTTAAAGTCAATATTCTTATATTGCCAGGAGGACCAATTATTGCAAAATAAATTAATTCTGGGTATTTTCATTTACTTTAAGCCATAAGCAGGATTTGAATTTCAGAATTGTGAGGGCAATCGTTTTTGCGTTCAAAATGTTGTGAAAATGATTTTGTCTCATTGAAAAATGTGTGGGGTAACCTTAAGGCATCAAGGCAAATGCCTTCATGACTTCGGTGAATTTTGAACTCTGAAAATGTTTTCCTGGATGAATTTATAGAAAGTTATGATCTTCTATACTGTTGCAACCACTGCTATACTGCTATTTTGTGACAACTAAACACTGTGCTTTTACATGCGTGTTTGTAAAATGATTTGATGTTGTATCTCTTAAAGTTTATAAATAAATACACAAATATGCTGGTCTGAAAAATGTATGTTTGACTGAACATGTGCATCTAATCCCATTCTCTGTAACTGAGTATAGTACATAGCTTTTATCAATAGAAAACAAAGTGATCATAATTGTATATCATTTGCATCTATCTGTATATTAATTACGTAATCGTAAAAAAAAAACTATCAATAACTATGTTTTTAATCAATAACTGAATTCCATTTTGTAATCATTTCTTGGCCAAAATTGCCAAATTTGGGCAGATTTTTCTCCAAATTTAGTGTTAAATGATCAGATAGAACATAATATTTATACTCTGGTGGATCACTGCCAGAGTATTTTATCATTCCGAGTCATAGGCTACTTGATGCTACTCGAGTGGTAATCACTGATGTCAGGCGGTAATCTGCCTAAAAGAAAATATCGTGGGATTATATATTTATCACATGCATATTTGAACAGTCTGAAATAACATCAATTATGAATATATCAGTGTGCTCGCCTATATGCAAACGCTTTCCATAAGCTTTGTGGTGATTTTGTTCCTTCTTTATCAGGGGTCAAAATTAAGGCCTGTCCACCTGTCCATATTTTACTTATGACAGGTAAATGAACAAATTGCCTGTCCCTGTGGAAAGGGGAATAAAGATATCAAGTTTTAGTTCACTAACCAAAGGGGATAGTCCCAATGTTCAGAAAATTGTTTTCAGTATTTATAATATTTAAGAAATGATAAGATGAATAATTTCACTGTGAAACTAAAAAAAGATGGGGAAAATTGATTTAATTTCAACAAATAAATTATTTAGATACTTGAGTACATTGTAGCATTGTTGTTCTGCTGGAACTGAACCAGTGAAAAATAGCAAAACATCAAAGTAACTGTGTCCCATATTATTGTACCCTTTTATAGTGACATCATTACTGCACCTTTATGTTTGTATAGTAGTATATTTATAGGTGTATCGTATATTTGATTAGTGGAAATGTCATTTAGCCATCATTTGTCATTAAACTACTTATGTATTCATTACCGCAAAAATGCGATAACAAGCACCCAAAGGCTGTATGATCAGCTTCAAAGTAATTTATACCTCATCATTTTTTAATTACCTTTAATTAATAGTCATCAGTGCATGAATAATATATTAGGGTAATCAAAAAGAATGAAATATTATGAAAGTATATGTCTTTCACTCCATCAGTCCAAACTGTGTATGATTAGTACAGTCACAATTATTTGGTGGATTTTCATAATTTATATCTTCATTCTAACGGGGTGTAAAATTACGCATATTTTTGTGCTAAAAAAATTATATCCTGCCTTTTGTTTCTTGGACGATTGTTCAAAATCTTTTTTTTTTTTTTTTTTTTTTCAATGAAAAAAAAAACAAAACAAAAAGTGTTACCAAATTTATTCTAGGTGATGAAATTAATTAGTATATTATCTTACTTTTGTAGGTTTTGGGTGAACTAATGATAAGTTGCTGTAATAGAGCTAGTGCAGTATGGTTGTCATAGTTATGATACCATATTTGTTTTATTAGTATCACTTGTGTTTTAAAATTACAAACTTAAGGTGTTTCTATTGGGTTGGTATACAACACATGCAGTTTTCCGTTCATATGTATTGCTATTGGAGATGCACTTTCAAATTCAACGCTATACGTGTAGCTTATACACAACATGACATGAAGCTTGCCTGGACTGACACATTAACATGTATTATAATAGTTATGTAGATATGATAATGGTGAAAGAAAAAAATTGCCACCAATTGCAGTAACTTAAAATGGCTTGCCAGGCTAGTCCAGGCTCACCCTTTCTTGTATCTGATGTTTTGCTTGTACTGTCCTAACACCTACTGTCGGAGAATGTATCGTAACGTAATGTACCCCACGGTAAAATACTAACCACATCTGGGATTGTAACAGTTGTCTTGTCCCAAGCGTCATTTAATGAAATATATTATACCATGGTTGATGAATTTTTGACTTGTAATTCTCAAGCTCAGGCAATAGTTTTCATTGTCATTTCAAAATGACAGTCAATGTATCAAATTATTATTTATGATTATTATACACCCTACCAGCCTTTCACACACAGTGGATAATAATATCAATTTATTTGATGAACAAATACTATTTAAAATTATAATTTTGAATTAACCTTTTAACACATACACATCACACAGTCAGGCATTGAGTCTAACAGCAGTAATGGCTAGTTGTTAAATTTAATATAATGACAGCTATCAAATTTGACTACATTCATTAGGCCAAGTAAAATTAAAATTCTGTTTCTAATTTTGCTTATTTTATTGGGTTGCACCCGCAGTGTGACTACAATATTGTGAGATAATAAAAACAAAATAGTACGAGGTATGAAGCCGTGCGAATTCCAGTTGTGTATGTGTGAAGCCATGAATATGTTTTGGTATCGACAGTGATGTTATTTTCGCTGAACGTAATGTGTAATCTTAATCAGGTGACATAACATACTGAGTTTGATCCACACACACACAAAGTGGGAATGCTAACAGGGGTCAGTGAGAAGTTTTCTATGAATCGTACAAAGTCGGAATGCAGCTTTAAGGGTTGGGTCTGAATACCACCATTAGCTGATTTCATTGGTCTAATCAAACATAATCTCGTGATCATCTCCAACCAATCAGAGCATTATATTATGTGTCTTTATTAATTCTCTAATCAATATACTATCTATCTGTTTATTTCTATTAAATCATTTTTCTACTTTCTTATATTTTCAGAATTGACCATTGGGACAACGAGAAAGAACGCATTGTATTGGTGAATGATTTCACCTTACTGACATTGAAGTATGACTTCGTGGCCTGCAAGCTGCATGAGTTTAAAAGGATAATGCTGAAGGCAATTGATAAAGTGATACTTGGGTTATTTGAATACCCTGGCAGGACAATAGCAACGTAAGATTAGTTTGTTGATTATCTTTTCTTCCCTCGCCTCACTTTTGTATTTGTATTGTTAGATGCTTGCATAAATGAACTAGTAAATTTGTTATGTCAGTAAAATTTTGTTTGAAGCCTTTGGCATTACCAGTAATATGTGTACTGTAATAAATACAGCAGCCAAGGCATTGCAAGATATCCACCTTGTAGGCAAATATCACAGAGCAGTTTCATGGATTTTGTTGTAATTTGTCACCGAAGTTCATGCTAAAATCTAAAATGAATTATATGACAAAATATATATAATATTTGATGTGAAGAAGACTAGTGAGTCGTTTCCTGTATACTAGTAGCCATCCGGTCCCTTCCTTTTGAATAAATTAATCCCCATTTGGACATACTTCAAAAATGGGGACTGGTATAATAATTTCACCTTTGTGTATCAGTCTGTGTGTGCATATACCTGTATTTCAAACCTGCTTTGGCTAATTTTATTTATATATCACACTCACATCAAATCATACATATAAGCACAATTCAATATGGCCGAATGGCGGCTATTTTAGTGCTAAAAATTCATCAAAATCAAACATTTCTGCCATTCCAGAACTGGAGTCTGGTCATGCATGGACATAATTCATTCAAACTTGGTATGTTCATTGAATATAATGGGTTCTTTGATACACATCAAAGTGTATTTTTATATTGGATTGAAGATGGTCGACTGGCGGCCAAACAAATGCAGTTCCAGGGTCACATCTCTGACATACTTTGACTGATCACATTCAAACTTGACACGTACATCATATTGTTCTCGGTCACGCATAGACTTTACATTCAAACTTGACACGTACATCATATTGTTCTCGGCCACGCATAGACTTTACATTCAAACTTGACACGTACATCATATTGTTCTCGGTCACGCATAGACTTTACATTCAAACTTGACATGTACATCATATTGTTCTCGGCCACGCATAGACTTTACATTCAAACTTGACACGTACATCATATTGTTCTCGGCCACGCATAGACTTTACATTCAAACTTGACACGTACATCATATTGTTCTCGGCCACGCATAGACTTTACATTCAAACTTGACACGTACATCATATTGTTCTCGGCCACGCATAGACTTTACATTCAAACTTGACACGTACATCATATTGTTCTCGGCCACGCATAGACTTTACATTCAAACTTGACACGTACATCATATTGTTCTCGGCCACGCATAGACTTTACATTCAAACTTGACACGTACATCATATTGTTCTCGGCCACGCATAGACTTTACATTCAAACTTGGTACAGTTGTATGTCCATCAAACACATTGGGTCCTTGATGCATGTCATTTTTGCTCCAGATTTTATTCAAAATTGCTGATTGATGGTCATTTTGTTTTCAATTAATGTTGTTTTTGAAGCCATGTTGGGCTGATCATGTTCAAACTTCACACATACATTATGTAAACACATTTGCTCATGCATATGTTTAATATTTTGATTCAAGATGGTTGATTGTCATTTTTGTGCTAGAACAGCATTATAAATGTGCAGAATAAAGGACGGAATCCTACATATACACTGGCTCTACTTTGTATCATGTCTGTCATACGAGCGTAAATAGTTATTTGGCACTAAGATTGACAGTCAATAAAAACTAGAGGAGTATTTTCAACAAAGCATAATGATTAAATCTGCTGTAATATCTTTTGAGTAGAACCAGAGATGGTGTTGGTTTACGTGCATATTGGAACAACGGGATAGAGCCAACATTTGCTGCAAAGTGGAATCCCTGGAGTAAGCAAATTCCGTGGATAACACTGACTTCACATCCCCTGCAGTTCAAAGAAGATAGAGATACAGATTGTTACAAGGTTAGTTGTTATCATAGACTTGCACACTATTTCTTGTTTATTTTTTGGGTGTTTTTTTTTCAAAAAAATAAAATATCATGGGAGTGTGTAACTGGCAAAATAAACAATGGCTTTTGACCCTTATACTTATAGATGCCCTCATGGAACACCGGTCTGGGTTCAGTGCATGATGCAATGATTAATTAATATTCCACCAATCAGCGTTAACTCTTCAAAATTGGAATTGGATTCTTCTCGCGGCAAAACTGCATTATTTATCGAGATTTGTTTATGATGGCATTGCAAGACAGTAGGGAAGATGAACTAAGGATACTAAGTTATTCATTGTTTTGAGAGTTCTTGATGATATGACAGTTATGAAGGTTTTTTTTGCCAGCATGCTAGCGATTCACTGCCATCTTGAAAAAATGTAAACTTGTATGTACATGTATGCATGCTCTGCTCATCAAATCCTGTGGTGTCATTGAAATGCTTGTTAATATCAATTAATAGCAAGGGAACCCTTGCAAGGGTCACATGTCTCTTGTTTATTTCACGATAACACGGCATTCGCCATTTATACACTCCCATATTTTATTTTATTAAAAAAACACAAAAAACATAAACAAGAGACTGTATGCAAGTCTATTGTTATGACCAATATTGACAGTTCTCTTTCTTAAATTTGAAGATTGGGATTATTCTTTAAGCTTCATTGGGATCTCTAGACTATCGCATTTTATTGTCTGAATTTACATGATTACAGAAATACTTCTGCTCTTTCAAATGTTGCTGATAATCGCAGTTTCTCATAATTATTATTTGTAGGTGTTTTTATTTGCCATAATTATTATGATGGTTTTTAAACTATTCTTGCATTAACAACAATTCTGTGGTGAGCTGGAATTCAGAGCAAGGATGAAACGTGAAATGTTTCCAAGAATTTATTTATTTATGTGTGTTTTGCATCATACACCGTAGTTGCCAATAGAGCTACATGGATGATCTCAGAGTCTAGCTTTTCAAAAAGTGAAACATGTGACACATGTTGTGGTGTCTTTGATCATTTGCTCAGTTCTAAGATTCATGTAAAGTAGTCAAAAATGAGACTGAAATGCATTGCAATTTCACACTGTATGACTTTAGTTTATTTATTTATTTAGGGCAGCTGTTAAATAAAAAAAATTTTTTTTTTTTGACAATTTAACTATCAATAATTAAGACAACCTCCATGATGGTGTTCATTGTTGAACATTGGATTATGATGGACCAATACTGGTCTTGAAACTGATCCTATGGCTCCTGTGTGACATACAGCCCTGTACATACATGTATATGAAATTATGGACAAATTTACTGAGAATGAGTTGGTAATATCACTGAGCATGTCCATACCTTCACTAAGCTAGTTGCCGATGTATTCATCAAGTTGGTGTTCTCATTTGTGATGTCACTGAGCAAGTTGGTGCCGTCATTGGTGATGTCATGGTGATGTCACTGAGTAACTTTGTGATGTAAGAGCAATTGTTCCTAAGCAAGAGAGTGATGTCACTAAGCAGATGTTTATGTCACTGAGCAAGAGAGTGATGTCACTGAGCAAGATGTTTATGTCACTGAGCAAGAGAGTGATGTCACTGAGCAAGATGTTTATGTCACTGAGCAAGATGTTTATGTCACTGAGCAAGAGTGATGTCACTGAGCAAGAGAGTGATGTCACTGAGCAAGAGAGTGATGTCACTGAGCAAGAGAGTGATGTCACTGAGCAAGAGAGTGATATCACTGAGCAAGAGAGTGATGTCACTGAGCAAGAGAGTGATGTCACTGAGCAAGAGAGTGATGTCACTGAGCAAGAGAGTGATGTCACTGAGCAAGATGGAGTGATGTCACTGAGCAAGATGGAGTGATGTCACTGAGCAAGATGGAGTGATGTCACTGGGCAAGAGTGATGTCACTGGGCAAGAGTGATGTCACTGGGCAAGCGTGATGTCACTGAGCAAGCGTGATGTCACTGAGCAAGATAGTGATGTCACTCAACAAGATGTTGTCACTCAGCAAGAGTGATGTCACTTAAAAAGTTAATGTCACTGAGCAGTGACTTTTTTTTTATCAAAAGTACTAATATCATTTCTGCTCATTTCTGTATTTGCTGAAAGAAGTGATTTTCAGAGAATATAATCAGGTCTCTGGTCTAAGACTAGTGGATGGTGAACTTTTTAGTGTGATCTTATAATGGTTTTTGTGACATTCTTTTCTATCATCTTTTTTGCCACACTGTATTGCAATATTGATTGTTATGTGTTTTATGTTAGCCCATCAAGCTGAATTCAGTGCACCTTGAAATTGGGAGCAAAGTTCTGAATATCGAACAGAGCTCAATTTTTGAGGTATGTGTCCATGTTGAGTTTTACAGCTACATTGAATGTTGTTTGTGTTGGTTGCTAAGCATATGGCTCGTGGTTTCGTCATTGCCCTGCTCTTGTCTTATAGTAAAAACTGTTAGCTTCTTCTTGTCATGTAATTACTTTTTAGTCATACCAAAATCAGTTCTATATAGAAATTTAATTTTGGCAGTCTTTCCAGGCTATAACACCTTCCTAGGACTATGTACAACTGAGGACTGAAAAGCGTGTACATTACATGTACTTACAGGAGTGGATACATGTGTATCAATACTTTCTGTTTGTTATTTACCACCATACCTCATCTTATTGGCAACACCGCAAGCAATGCAACACACAGTGTGTGTTCATGGCAAAACGTGATGTACAAGATTCGGTCACGCTACTCTGTCCACGGTTTTACATGTATATTCAATTTCACAAAACCTTCAGCATATATTTCCTCATTGAACTAGCCTTTGTATATTTCTGTTCTGGACTGAATTTTGGGGTTTGTTAAGTGGCATGCTTGTGACTTCATTGTGTGTCTAATTTTGACATCTTGGATGTTCAGTTTTGTAAGAAACTTTGATCAACCTTTATAAATTCTATGTAGGATATATGCACGGTTATTTTTACTCTTCTTCAAATGTAGCTATCATAGGCGTGCAAGATTAAAACATTTTCTTTCTCTTCTTCAGCTTGAAACCTTCAAGACAGCCTTCATGCAAGCTATACAAAATGCTCAAGAACAGAAGAATTCTGAAGGAGCAACTGCATTGACAATCCACGAAGCGCCGATTTTTATTGAAAACTATTTAGGATTTGCATCAATGGTCCACAATCAAAGTCATATTGGATTCTCGCGAGAGAGGGGTGGAGTCAGTTTTTAGACATCTTGCATCTGCTTATTTCCCTCAGTAAATTGTAGCTCTGCAATGGTCTTTTTCTAAACGTTGCTGAAATCTCTGTCTCGTTGAAATGCAAGATGCTTGCATGACATTTCACTCGGCACATGTGAAAATGTGTATTTATATCGTCAAAAAACAATGTACGTTGTACAATCAAAAATAGAGGCTTTCTTGTGTATTTATCGTTACCAAAGTAATTTCTTTTTTCTGTGTTGCAATTTAAGAATAATCTTTGAGGATATGGATCGTTGCATGGAGGAATAGTAAACTTAATATAGCCTTACAACTGAAGTTACCCATGCCATTGCGGTCATTTTTCAAAGTGCATACATACGTAATATATATATATAAAAAAAAAATACATGTATGTTTATAGTAACTTGAAAAAACTTAATGCAAATTTTGTTGATGTGTGTGTTTTTTTTGCGGATAAATATTTATTTTGTATGGGTGTCTGTAGCTTTGGTATACTGATTCAAGTTAGCAAAATTTGGACATCTCTTAACACCGTCCTCCTCTTTGCTCACTCTATCATTATTATTATTGAAGAAATTGTTAGGACACATCTCTGAGGATCTCACACTTGCACTTGTTCTGCATTAGGTGTAGACTCGGAACACCACTATCATGAGTCTTTATTGCTGTGGTTCTTAAAGTTCACCCATTGAGTATGTTACAGTCAGCTGTTTTTAATAGTATTGTATGCAGAGTGATGCTACACAAGACGTCCATCCAGTCAGACGTGTTTGTGATATTTTATTTGATGTTAGTATCTGTCATGTATATGTAAGTCCACTAGTGGTTTGTTTTTAAATTGCTCCTTCACCATCAGTTAAGGGTATCTATACGTTCAAATTTGTATCGATGATATCATTTTCACTTGCTATGAATTAATCTGGGACAAGGATGTCTATACATAAATAAGCACACAATAATAAACAAAAAAACTTGTATAGTTTTAGAAATGTAAGCTACTTTTCAGGTCAAGCATAGGTTTAGCCTGGTTTATTCTGTTTTTATTATGACAACAATTTTTTCCTGTTTTTGATGAAGGTAGTGACGCTAATCAACTGTCTACCCACAATTCCTTGTACATCTATCATGATTACCCCAAACAAGGAGAACAATTGTATACAGCAACATAAAGTGTGATGATTTTTTTTTAAAGAGTCTTGCACATGTCTGTGATGAATGAATTTGTTTTCAGTATTTATCAGAGAATTGTTTTGATATGTTGATGTTAATCGTGTTTTAGGCAAGTGCAAAATAAAAATGAGAACAAAGCCTGGCTAGCAAGCTATGACTATACAGTAAATGTCGAAGAACAATTTTGAAATAGTGAAAGAAAACTCCAGCTAGCAGTTCTAAAACTATTCAATTATTTAATACTAACCAGGGATGAGACAGTATTTACAGAATTGTACTCTTGTTCAGCATGATGGTAGTAATGCTTCCTTTAATAAAAGTATGTCACAGGTGAACACAGACTGCAGAGTTTTATTATACTGCCCTCTGTGCCATGTTATTACATTTCACAATTTGTCACCAGAGGGCAGCATTGTGCACCAAAATTAGCTCTTGAACTATTCATGCAAGACTTATAAAATGTGCATTGATGTACTTGCATTGTTTTTACTGGTAGTCTACTTTGGTGTTCAGTATAAATCACATATTCATTTCTACCAAAGAATATCATAAAAAACCAAACAAATGCCACCCAACTTTTTTTTTTTTTTGAATGTAAAAAAAAAAAATTGTATAGCACCCATGAGCAAACTTTCAACTGATTCTGGCAATACATGAGTGAGAAATTAACATGGACATGAATAAAAAACAAAATGGCTGTTAGTCAGTTACTTTTTGGAGTCTCAAACAAAAAATGACATCTGTAGCTTAATATCCATGATCATCATACAAATTTTTCATCTTCAAAAATAGACCCAGACACATTTATCATAAGTACCAGTAATTAGCAATTTTCAGGACTAATTGACGGCCATTAAGTTTGAATGTGATTGTTCAAGTATTTTTGACTCCCGTGTGCGTGCGCGTGTGTGTGCGTGCGTGCGTGTGCGCGCGCGTCTGTGTGTGCGCGCGCGCGCGTGTGCGCTACTGATATCTCAAGAACCACACATTGATTTTTGATGAAACTTGTGCAGATTTGCATTGGTTTTGGATAAAATATTAATTACCTAATTTGCAAAATGATTAATCAATTTTCGGCTTTTCTACTGATATCTCAAGTACTAATCATCACATTTCAATAAAACTTGGTACATAGATGTCATAGTACACTGCACAAACCTGATAGTTTTTAGGGTAATATCAGTACATATTAATTACCTAATTTGCATAATTAATTAATTTTTAGCTTTTGATATTTCAAGTAGTAATCATCACATTTCAATGAAACTTTGTACATAGTTACTTAAGGACTATGCAGACACCTGATTAGTTTTTGGGTAAATATTTGTACATATTAATTAACATAATTAGTTAATTTTCAGCTTTTTGCCTGATATCTCGAGTACTAATCATCATATTTCAATGAGACTTGCTACATAGATCTTCTAGGACTATGCAGAGACCTGATTAGTTTTAATTGGATATTAATTACCTAATTTGCATAATGTTCCACTGATATATAAAGAACCACAAATTGGATTTTAATGAAATTTTTTAAAGAGAACTATGCAGAGACCTAATTAGTTTTTGGTAAATATTTATGCTTATTATTCACCTAATTAACATAATTAATTAACACTGATATCTCAATTACTGATCATCACATTTGAATAAAATTTGGTACATAAATGCTTCAGGACAATAGACAGGTCTGAATAATTCTGGGTTAAAATTTGTTCATATTAATTCTCTAATAATTTTTTTGTTCTGTTCTGTTCATATTAGTTACCAGATTTCCATCAATATCTCATGTACAAGTAATTTTGAATTAATTTTTAATGTGTCTTCAATACTCTCAGCACACAGGAGTTCTTTCTAAGCTTTCTTTGATTGAGAAATGGCCCTCGATGCATGCACAGAGGGTGGGACAAATGATGTAGAACCCAAATTAAAAGTCTCTGATTTCTGAGTTTGTCCAAAACTAGGATTAAAAAATTGGAAAAAAACTTCAGAAAAACGGTCCAACCACAAAATGTATTTGTAGCTAAAATAATCAATAAAGTGCAATCCAAAAAATAAAGAATATGATCAACACCCAGTAAAAACATTTCTTACTAAAATTCAAACATTTAATCTGGTATTGTGAATTTGCCATTGCTATAGTCATGAATATTACCTTAGCTATGTCTGAGTTTTGATACTTCACGATGAACATTAGTTAGTATTGTTACTATCAGCATACTGTAGAATACTTTATTTTTGCTTGGAATATATTTTCGCTGAAGGGATGATTCCGTAAAAATAAAATCCAGCGAATATACACTTTTTTCTATATTTTACATTAATCTCGTCAAAAATCAGTGAAAATAAATTTCAAGCAAAACGCCCAAAATACTTTTTCAGCGAAAATAAAGTATTCCACAGTAATATAATTTATCAAGTTAACGCGCATGACAGAGTGGATTTGCAATTAGCATAAGCAAGTGGAAACCCCCACTTCCCAAGGCTAAATCAAATTTGTAATTCAATGGGTCAAGCAAGCTCACATAAGTCTTCAACCCTCAAGACCACAAATACAATGACACTCTATTAATTTAGTATAGCGCCACCTAGCAATGCAGTGTATTTTCGGTTTGTTTTTAGGTAGATTAGGCAGGGTGCAATAACGTTCATCACTCGACATTTTATGACTACATGAGTGAGTTAACTTGATGAGTTATATGGGACGACTCGAGGAGTTAACAAGTTGAGTCATACAGTACGAGTTTACCAGATGTGTGAATAACACAGCATATATGTTGGTGAACTTTATTATTAATGAACGGCATAAACTCATTCGTTGACAACTAGAAGTGTGTTACTTATAACTGAACAGAACGTAGCACCTACACTTTCATTCTTGAGAGGTGCTGTGTATTTGAGGCGATACTTAGTAACCATTGGCTCTTTATCCTGCATCATAAAAGCCAAACCAAAACAAAAATAACTTGATTGTATTTGCATTATTGTTTAAAAGCTGGTATTATGAAAGATGTACATGAGTAAAATTAATTGCATACATCAGAGGAAACCAGGGGGGAAAATATAAATTAGATTCTTCTATACTCTCACATAAAATGGAATGAAGTATAATTCCCAAAGGAGCTTTTAATTGAGGGTTTCACATCTGTTCAAATAAACGACAAAAGATGACATGCATGTAACACCCAATACTAGCACTAGTCATGTAGCCGAATTTGTTTTTTACTGTAGAATAATTTATTTTCGCTGAAGGGCTGATTCCGTGAAAATAAAATCCAGCGAATATACTTTTTTCCTACATTTCACATTAAACTAATCAAAAATCAGTGAAAACAAGTCATGGAAAATGACACACTCCCCGTAAAATTTTTGAAAGTTCTCTTTGTACTCGTCATATTAAAGCGAAGGGGTTGTTGCGAGAGTGTCCTTGAAACTTGAGTTCCAAGTGGCGTATACAGAGATTGTTTATTTACATTAAAACGCGTGTTCCGTGTAGTAGTAATATGGCCAAAAATAAAAACAGCTGTTATTTGACCATCTTTGATCTGATATTGAAACAAAGTGACATGTATGATGTATGTGCCAAATACGAATGAAAATGGTACATAAATTGTGGAAGTATAGTAGTAAGGCCAAAAAGTCAGATGGCTGTAAATCGGCCATATCCTTGACCAGATTTTGAAACAAATTGTCATGGACATGCATCCTAACATGTATAAAGTACATGTATGTGCCAAATTTGAATGAAAACTGACTGAGCAAATCTAAGATACTGCATAAAAAAAAAAAAAAAGATGCCTGCCAGTCAACCATCTTTGATCCAATTGCGAAATAAATCGTCATGGACATGTATCCGAACATGTATAATCTATGTACCAAGTTTGAATGACAACTGACAAAGCATGTCCAAAATACAACATTTTTAAAAAACAAGATGGCTGCCAGTCAGCCATTTTGAATCGAATCACTAAACCACTGCCAGTGCATATGTCCCACATAAGGTACTAGGCACATGCAAAGAATGAACGGAATCGGTCCACAGGATTCTGAAATATGACACTGGACAGACTGACGCACGAACGGACAGACTCAGGAACTCATTAACGGCCGGGGACATGTATCCTAACATGTATGATCTATGTACTAAATTTGAATGAAAACTGACAAAGCATGTCCAAAATACGACATTTTCCCTTGTCCATGTTTTTTCAATGGGGTAATGACAATCTATTCTTCAAAATACCGAGTTTGTTAATTAAAACAAATCTGATGCAAAAATTGCATGTTCATCAGGTAATATTATTTGAAATAATGGTATAACATGTATATTCTAGGTGGTTCACTTTCAGAGCCATACAGCTCAATAACTTGTGGTGCAGAAACGAAAATATAATTTTATTCAAACCACAGCATCAATATATCGTCCTTTACTATGCAAATATTACACTCAACATGCTGACCAGACATTGTACAGAATGGCAGAATTGATGTAGAAATACCTGCCTGCACATAGAAAATAACTCATACTATGATAACATCTCAAATATGCTGAATTAGTACAGCATTCATCATATATTTCTAGTAGTTTTACATCGTGGGCAGAATCATGCGTATAGTACGGGGGGAAAAAACCTTAATTTTTTTCAGGGACACAAATGTATTACATGTATTCCAGTGCAACCAATGCAAACTCTGTGGACATTGAAGTTTTTGATTCTCATATGAATTACAAGCTCATAGCTCTGTGCTTGTAGGAGAGGACCTCTTGAAAATAAAACAGTCAGTATAAGATATCTGTACACAGAAATCCCCAACAGTATTCACAGGTCAGTGTTCCAAGTATGTTACAGCCGCAGCACCAATATTAGTCATTTATCAATGTAGAAATTAGAATTCATATGCTTTTCTGTTAGTCATTCTCGTTTTGCCAGTGCCTCTATTTTTATTCATTTTTTTGTAAAGAAATCTAATTCTCTTGATCATTTCTTTGTGTTCCATTGGACCCATGGTCGGTCCGATCATCTTCTTTTTTCGCACCAGACGTTCGAATTCATTACCACGCCAGCCTTTCATCCACCATGGCCCTGTAGTTATATTCTTTTTCAGGTGATAGGAGCCATCTCCTAGAATGTCCTTGAAGTCATTTTCACCAAACAGAGCGTGTTTTTCATCCCATCTGTCCACTACTGGTTTTATAGGACGAGGATCTCCGCGTGGTCTCTTTCCCAGCAATGAGTAACCTATCGATAGATAAATGTAGTATAGTATAGTATAGTATATTTTATTTGACACTAAATAATATATTTTGTTACATTATCTGTGGTCAAAAGACATTAAATATAATAAAACACAAGTACACACACGAGACAAAGAAAATACATAAATAACTAAAGTCTAAGTAAAATTACTTATAGTAAAATGGTATGCTGTCAATAAATTTGCTAACACTATTGGCAATGAACCCATCTCTTGAACTTAAAATTTTTGTAAATTGTATGTATATTGTAATAAATAATTGGAGCTTGAGTATAGACCAAATAACATTTTGGTTTTGCCGTAACTGGCTAAAAATACTGGGAATGGTCGACAGGGTCATTTATTTCTAAAAATTGAATGCATTTATAGTTATTCTGCTCTAACCACAGACAGCCTGGAATCTAGCCATTCTGAGTACCGGTACACTCAAGAATGCATGTGCAAACCAATTCACTAGATTAAGTCTTATTCATTGATTTCCGAAGCCTAACTATCACAGACAGCAACTAGTCTAAATCACAGAATGTTTTTTTGAAACTACACCTTATTTATTAAGAGTGCATTTGCGCAGTAGTGGATGTTGAACATTATTTTATCTTTCTCAATGTGGCCATCACAAAATCACACTACCCCCCCCCCCCCCCTGCCCTGTCCGGGCACTCACTCAGACATGATCAAATATCACGACACCTGCAAAGGTGTACCCGTAAGGGCTGAGACTCAGACAGAAACCATTTGAGTCATTGCAATATTAGCATTTCACGGGTTAATTTGCATATATGCAAATACTTCTCGAAAATAAAAACAAGACCTACCGACTGAAAATGCTCTTGTAATTTGACTTGACGGTCGAAATGCATGACTTGCAAATCTTAAAAGTGACTGCAGCGTTCCTGTCATTCTATGACAATCGCGTATGTACCGAACGATACAAAATAAGTAAAAAACAACTTTATTCCAAACGCGAACGTTCTCACATGGTCGCCGACATTTTTGTATTTGTCGTTTTCCGGTCCGTTATTTCTCACCTCCATTCTAGACCCAGAATCCTTTGCAGGTCGCGGTAGGTTTGAACATGACTGTACTTCCGGTTGGCAGTGTTTTAGAGTCGTGGTGAGAAAAAAAGTTGAATACGTACTATTCCGAGAATCAGATTGAAAGAAACCAAGATGAACTTTTCAGAACTATTCAAACAGACTAACAATCTGTGCAAATTTTCTCCAAACGGCCTGTACTTGGTGAGTATTTCGACGTTTTTTTCTGACGATGACTTGCTATGACAAGGTCGGACATGTTGTTATGTTTACAAATTTTAATGTACGTACATCAACTGTTTTTAGTATATATACTCGTGTTGACTGCTGATATTCTACTTGAATTTGGAATTCAGAGTGAAAACTGCCATCGTGATGTTTTGCATTTGGCACGAGAATTTACTTTCACGATTTTAACAGACCTAACCCAGGCCACAGGACACCTTCCAAACTCTGGTACTGTTTTAGTACGAGAGGGGGCTGCATGTATATATATATATATATGTATATATATATCAGAGGTACATTACTTGGGGTTTGCAACTACGATGACATGATACCAAGATCCCGTTACAATCTCGCTCTCGCATAAGCGTTCTAACTAAAAAAAAATGTGAATGCGCATGCCCGAGGTAACTAGGATACTGGGATGTCCAGGTGGATCAAAATAGCTGCTTACGACATGATGGATTATGATAGCTATATTTTCCATACATTTTCGATGTATTACATTTTTTCACTATCAATGTGGTAATACATGTTTTATTGTTTTATTACAAACCGCCTATGTCATGTCAGTCTCGCTATCTATGAGATGAGACTTGAATGGGATCTTGGCATAATGTCACCATACAGTACTATGCGCGTTGCAAACCCGAAGTAGTGTACCTCTGATATATATATATATTGTTTGATTAGTCAGCACACTTTTACAATGATTCATTCCCGTGTTGCATTATGGACGTATGGGAGTTAGTGCGGCACGCACCTCTAAATCTACCCCTTCCTGTATTTGTAGTTTACATTACAGCCTACAGGTGTTCGCTAATAACCAGTGTGCCCTCTAAGTAAAAGAACTGATTTTGTCAAAATGAAATCCTTCAAAATTAGGTTGAGTCAGCTTGTTGACTGCTGGGAAGGTCGTTCTTCAAGAAAAAATAAAATTATATATGTGACTGTTTAGCTGACTTGAGGCACAAATAAAAATGTTGTGGTTCCTTATTTCCTTCGTACCGGTATTTACTTATTTTGTTTATAAAATGTGAATTTCATTTAACAAAATTATAAATTTCATAACTATAATAAGATTTTTTTCAAGATCACTATATCAATGTATGCTATTCTGTTGCACCAGTGAGTCAGCACAACTAATTACGTCACAGAAAATATTTGTGCATCAGTGGCACGCCTCATTGGCTTAGAGGCAACACTGCTCTTTGTGTCACTTAATTATTAAAAGTGTTTATCTATGTTACGTCATTATATGAACCTTCAAACAGAAATGATCCCAGTTTGCCTGTTATGACTGTGAATATGGTTTTTCATTAATTTAAATTGTATTTACTGTCACTGCCTTATTTTGTGCACCAAACATTCTTAACTAAGTTGTAGACTGGTTTGCTATAAACGTCTCCAGATCATTACTGATTATAATGGTAAGATCAAACCATTGTTATAATGGTGTGCCATTCGCTAAGTATACTGGCAGTAAACCACAAAGTCAGAGAAGACAGTTTATGGAAACTTGAAACAGATCAACAATCAACGTTCAAAATGAACGAGACGATCACTGACAATTTTTTCATTAAACTCAAGAATAACAGTGGCTACATTGGAAATAAAATTATGATTTTACTTGAAGATAAAATTTTACAAAAGTTTGTGACACTTTGTGTCGTAGGACCTCAGTTAAATTGTCACTATTACAAAATTCCACAATTTTTACTGACATGACATTTTGAACACATTGCCTTCCCAAACTGAATGGGAAAAAATGGCTTCAGCATTGGGGATGTGTTAAATTTCACAGTATTTCTACTTATAATGTTGCTATCCCATAACAAAAAAAAATGCTTACTTCAACGAGTAAGAAGTGTGATTTTCTACATGTACTGTGATGTTTAAAATTTCAAGGTTGGATGATGATGTAACATAGATAAATGCTGTGTTAGTTAACCTGAAAAATTCTTACGTGTACCTTTAAGTGTACCGGTATATATGGCATTATTAGTGAGTCCCACATAAACGTCATGCTGACTGACATCAGTGGACAATATTGGCTCTGTATGCATGTAGCATATTTTGCGGTGTTAATTGATCATCACAATTTACCATTGCGTTCATTTACAGGCCAACTGTGTACAATACCGATTAATAGTTCGTGACATAAAAACGCTGCAGATTATACAGTTGTACACGTGTCTGGATGCTGTTCAGTTCATTCAGGTAAGAGCCACAATGACTGATATCACTACATTAAGGATGCTGTATACGTTTTTTTTGCTGGACTACAAGGAGCAAGCACTTGGCTTTCTGTGTTTACACAGAGATCACGTGACTATACACGTCCATACACACACTTCATATTCAGTGTGAAATAGGCTTTCCGTCAATATTTTATATGAAAATATCAGTTTCGAAAATCAATACCAAAGACATATACAGCATCCTTAAGCTAGATACATCCTTATTATATCTTAGTCAAACCAAGAAACACCAGATTTTGTCTTTTAAATAACAAACTAATGATAATTAAGAGAAAGGAAATATAGTGAGAAAATTCTATTTTGGCTATCATGCATTGAATGCTGGTAAATACTGCCAAAACTTATCTGTGGGTAATTTAAGGAGTTGTAGACTTAATTGAAGATTACATGGTTTTTTTTCATGCTTACATGTAACTGAATTGGGACAATTGACTTTTTTGTGTGCAAAATTTATTTATAAATAACATTATGAAAAAAATCAAGTGAAAAATGTACATAAATTAAATAAACAATCAATAATAATGTTCTGTATAAGGAAACGCCCACGTCCAATCTCTTGGCGAATAATTTGTGACGTCGCAGGAGAATTTGTCATTGTTTCACAATAACCGCTATACGCATGTAGCGCTCGGAAAGCGACACGGAATATATGTTATCATTGTCTGACGAGAGTTATGAGATCGAGGAATATGATGACAACGACAGATGTCACGATTTTGTTTTAGAGTGACAGGGACAAATTGGCCCATACAGGTTTGCCCCTGCGAGAAAAGTATGTGATGTGGGTGACCGTGTACCTCCCCAAAATGACCGTGACGATTCAGGCACAGGCACAGAATTTGAACAAAGTGACCAGCTTGGCAACTCAGATCAGTGTTTTGTAAAAATGCAATTTTCAGTTTCTTGATCTTCTGATGAAATCATGTAAAAAAGACACAAAGTACGTGAACGGTGAATGCGTCCAGTGCCAACATTTTCCAATCGCCATTTTGTGCTCTGTTATTCCACAATCAATCTAGTCATTTTGACTCCGGCATAATTACCTGAATTCATTCTAAACTTTTCAAGCAAATTAATATTCATATTCAACATAGAAAATATTGTTTTTCTGGTTATTTACTTTGCAAAGCTGTCATCTGTCAGTGAAACATGTACTGAAACCGGAAATACTCCACATCTTTTGAGAACGCATAAAGACTTGCGTGATCACCATGTGTGTTGCTACACCCGCCACGCGATTGCCGAGTGTGTTTTCTACACCCGCCTACAACACAGCGTTTCCCCATGATAACGATCGTGGTAGCTCGTTGTATATGCTGGTTTACTAAACGCGTGCGTATGGAAAATGGTAAACAACCCTGTCTGCTCGCTATCTCGTGCTTTATAGTCTCATTGGTGGCGCCATTTCGACAACACCCATAATGCCGAAAAAAATCAAAGGTGACGAGAGATGGGGGCGTGGCCGGATTTTGGAATATCATTGACTGTTTACCCAATTTATATACCTTTTTTTCTAGAAACAAGAGTTGTTGTGTCATGGAAAGTCGTAAACGTTTTTCACCAGTTTCTATGATGATTTTGTTTCTCCTATTCAATTCATGGGATAAAAAAAGACAGATGTAAAAAAAATAATTACCTTTAATTTAGTGAGCTTCTTATGTCATAATCGTTGTATACAATGTGAACTTCTCACCCATAATGCATTGCATATATGTTCTGTAACATGCTTAGTGGTGGATGATTTGAACTACCCCGTTTTAACGTCGCTTTATATCAAATGTTTTACATTCACACATATTGAAATGTATACTTGTGGTTTGTGAATGTAAGCGTGCATTCTGTGCAAAAATAACGTATTTTTCAGGAATTTTTTACATGTTCTCAGTACTTCCCTCTGTGTTGTCACTATTTTTCGATTTGTTTATTGATAATAAAATTGTATTAAAATCTAATTAATTTTGCTCAAAACTAACCTTCATCTGTTTGTTTTCACTGACAGTGGTCGTCAGATTCCATGTTTATTTTATGTGGTATGTATAAAAGGGGAATAATACAAGTAAGTACAAATGTTTTTTAGTTTTTTTTGTCACATGCGTTACTCTGATACCTGTGTGTTCCTATTATGTTACCTTTAATAATTATATCAGTGTTATGATTTGATCTTACAAATATCTTGTGACCTTGGGTCCAAAGATACCCAGCATGCAATGAAAGCACTGTGTACCAGCAGTATAGCTAAGCTTTCTAATTGGTATACACTCCAAACTACTCTCACTTACTAGGCCAAAAAATAGATTTGTTTCAGTTTGAAAGACGTATGTAACACCTTTTTTCTTTGGTGTTTACTAAATTATTGTAAAAAAAAAACAGAATTTCGTGGCAAAAAAAAAAAAATGTTTCACCATATCTAACTAAGGCTCAGAAAAAAAGCTGTTTTGGGTCCTATCTATTTACCGGGGTAAGTACAGGTAAACTCCTGCATGTATATGTGTCAAAGTCAAGGATTACAAAGTTGTTTAATTTAAATTTAAATTTAAATTGATTATATATTCACTAAAATTGAGGGGCATCTTTTCACCCTCAAGTTTACACATCACCTGCTTTCGTCATTTTGTACTATTACATTTTTGCTACCTGTGGAGGTTTTTAACAGGTAATGTGTTAAAACTTCATCCTATAAACTCCCATGAGTTTACCAACTGTATTTGTGTTTGTTAACTGTACATGGAAAGAAATACAGATAATGCAATATCTTTAGAAACAAGCTCAGAGTTTAATTTTCTTTTTCTTTTTTTTTTTGCACACTAAATTAAGTGACAAAATTGTTTAAGAAAATTTATTATTCATACTGCTAGACGTAAAAACAGTATGCTAGTCATCTTTGAAAACCTGTGCGATCATGTTTAAAATTAGTTATTTAGGAAATATGTGTTACCTTAGATCACATTTTAATATAGCGTGAAAGAAATGTATGTCACTGAATATAAATGATTGCACAGGTATGAATTTATTAAAACGCTTTCTTTTGCTGCTGTATCTCATAAAATGGTGACTACGACAAGCAAAGATTTTTATTAATTAATATTAGGGCAATTACAAGAATATCACAAAGTAGGCAGTACAGGATCGCATCGATTTCCACTGTGTTGGTTGATACAATTATCGTACAGCCATAAGTTACAGTTTTTCAATCTTATTAGTGTTAGAGTTATCAAGTAAATGGCAAAATTTATTGTGATCTAATTGCCATAGCAACATGACTACCAACTGCAGTTACGTACAACTTTAAAAATATCGGATAATATAACATTTTTGAAACAAACTTAAATTTCCCACCTTTATCATTCATTGCAGGTATGGTCTCTAGAACAGCCCGAATGGACGTGTAAGATTGATGAAGGATCGGCCGGATTGACAGCTGTTCAATGGAGTCCAGATGGCAGACATATTTTGACCACAGCAGATTTTAATCTCAGAATCACTGTATGGTCTTTAGTCAATAAATCAGTGTCATATATCAAGTATCCTAAAGAGGCTAAACCAGGTAAACGTCAACGAATTAAGTTACTCCCTTGAGCAAGAGAATAAACATAAAATAGGTGTCAATAATGACAAATATTGGTACAACAAAACAAGACTTCAAAAAGAAGACAACAAAAGAGAAATAGAATAGAATAGAATAGAATAGAATAGAATAGAATAGAATAGAATAGAATAGAAATAGAATAGAATAGAATAGAATAGAATAGAATTGATTTATTACATCCTTAAAGAAAATTGATATTTCTTCTTTTTGTTCATAGCTTAGTAAAGCTTAATTATAATAAGTACAGAAGTTACAATAGAAAAGAAAATGTTAGTGTAACAATACATAACAATTGTATTTCAAATGATTATGCAGTGATAACAGTTGATTTCACTTGTGTCATTGTCGCAGTGAAATTATAATGTTAGTGTATGAATGCGGTGAAATTCATTCAGTAGACATTATGTCTCCACCTTTTTTACAGTATTTAGTAAATGTATAAAGCATAAAAATAAAACAAAATTGCTGAGACTGGTCCGATTCTGGTCTAGATGTATCTCCAAGACAAGGACTGTTTGGTTATGGTTTCTTTTGCTATTTATTTATTTGTCAGGTATTGATTTCAGTAAAGATGGTAAATACATGGCACTTGCTGAGAGAAGAGACTGCAAAGACTTCATCAGTGTTTTTGTTTGTAACACATGGCAGCTCGTCAAAGTAAGCACGAATGTAGAATGTTTTGAATGGAGTGTGGTTTTACTTCAAATCAATATAAATCTGGAACAAGATGGAGCAAATACAGTTCACCAATTAACTACGAATATGTTATTTACTTCGTTTAGAGAGAGCAAACAGGTTGCTTGTTAGCGGAGTAGAGATGAGGCAGTCCCACTAAGGCAACTGCCATCTATGTTGCTGATTTTGCATGGCTTTTATAAATGGCTGGGTTAAAAATAAACGTACTGAGCACAGTAAATGATTAGGAGAACTATGTTTAATAATCTCTTTAACCTTTTCACCACCAGACTTTCTCACCCCAAATTTTTTCAACTTTTATCCTATATTCTATAGTATTTCTGGAAAGGAACCCTAATTTTGGAGCCAAGACAAAATTTGTGTAAATTTTCAGTTTTTACGCCAAAAAATTGGATATTCGTGTCCTAATCTTCTGAAGGAAAGTGCAGACTATAAACTGGACAATTTTTACCTTGCCTGTATCATCAAAGATGGAAGGGAAAGGTATATTAAGGGAAAAATTTCTGTCATCATTGTTGTCGTCGCCGTTATTGTCGTTGTTAATAATTGTTAATGTGTGCACAATAACTTTACTAATTCTATTCAAAACTTTATCAAACTTGGTCACCTAATTCATCAGTATAAAATGTTCCCTTAGTATGAACAACAGATGTCCTGTATGAAAATATCATGCAAAAATTGAGAAAATCTGATAAAATATTTTGACTTTTTCTGTCTGTCTGACTGATCACTGATATACATTCTCATTGGAAATATGCATTGTTGTAATAATATCATTGGTAATGTATTTCCTAAATCCCATGGGAATACTGTAGTGGGTTTCAAAACCAACTCCTGGAGAGAGTTGTTGCACAGTCTGATACACATTTACAAACCTACCAATAAAATCTTAACAGAAAACAAGTTGTCAGATAATCAATATAAGCAGATCAAAAATCTGTATTCTGTATTTGACAAACAGTATATAAATTTTGAAAATCAAAATTCGCAGGAATTTCTTTCAGCTATTAGGATAGAATTAGAGAACTTTTAAAATTTAAAAACACACTTCAAAAACAAAGAGAGCAGTGTTTGAAGATGTAAATTCTCAGGAGGCAACAGTACTGTTGATTTCTCTCTCTACTGGAAACCAGCTAACTATTTGCTTACTTCGGAAATTCAACATCTGTCCAATGTCATATGCTATGTCAACTTTGATTAGCTGTATGCATGCATTCCAATCACTATAACTATTTGAGTTGATTTGTATATAAATGTTTTTTTTTCAAATAATACAGTAGTCGCACAATGAATATAATAAGGCAGTTCATATTTGTCTCAGTGAATCTTTAATTTTTGACAGACACCTGTACAAAATACTTGGGCAAAAGCCAGCTAAGATTTTCTGTATCTTCACGTCTAAATGCAGCACTTTTTTTGAGATGAGACATTTGTTTTTATACTAAAATATCTGAATTACTTATATAATTACTTATATTGAATAAATCTGGAAGTTATGAATAATTAAACAAATTAGACACCAATGTTTTCATAAGATATTTACATCAATCAAGGGCATTTGGTAGACTGCTTTCCCACTGCTGTTTCAATCCTAAAACTAGACAATGCATGTTCATATTGATACAAACTATGATAAAGGGAATAATATTATACAACAAAGGGCAAGGTCACCAGAGTTCAACTATGTTGTAAATTTGTGATGAAGAGAGGGAACTGGTGGTGAAAAGGTTAAAACAGTATGGTTTTGGGGAGGGATAATTGAAGCACAGAGGTCTTGATTTGGGTGAGTGACGTGATAACTCTTTTTTGGATTTTAGATGTAATATTATTGTCATTAACAAATTCTTACAACTTTGTTTTCAGCACTTTGAAACAGATACAAGGGATTTAGCTGGTATTTCGTGGTCTCCCGACGGGAGAGTGCTATGTGTATGGGATACTCCACTAGAGGTAAATTTCTTTTGTATTCTTCAATTTCAATTCCTATAGGCCACCACTCGTTGTTTACGTTCTGCGCGCATACATGTACACAGTGGATGGTTGAAAAGGACCGGTCATTTGCACCCAAGGATAAAATAACGTCGTTGTCCGCTGCTGTTGTTGTTGGAAATGGAACTTGGTTCTTTCTTGTGGCAAAATGCACTCTAGAACTTGCAATTTGCACGTTAACAAAATCTGGAGAGACAACAATGACATTCAATGTCAAAAAGAATTTATTTATAAATATCATATTTTAGAACCAGGTTATCCAAATATCTTAATTGTGTTTCAGTATAAAGTATTGCTGTATCTAGCAGATGGTAGATGCGTCGCTACATACAGTGCATATGACTGGGCATTGGGAATCAAATCAGTTGCATGGTCCCCAACTAGTCAGTTTCTGGCTATTGGCAGCTTTGATGAAAGGGTAAGGTAGCTATAATAGTATATAAGATAAGATAAGATAATTCTTTATTACAACCTTATAGAATGAATTACATATCTATTTTGGTTTATGAAATGCAATAAAGGTGTTAAAATAAACATAACAAGTTAGATATCTAAAATCTACTACAATACAATATATAATTAGGCCCTTGATTCTCCTACATGTACCTTCAGATTAATCTGTACACAAGAAGTAATTTCCCAATCATGGTGCATAATTTGTATAATAATATTATTAAGGTTATTAC